AGCATTGTTTTGCAACCGGAGCATCCCTCGTTCATGCAATTTTTTTTCACTAGTTGCTTTTCCCTCGTTCTGTCAACGCGTCAGGCGCGTCAGCTGTGTTGAATAAAAACAAAACAGATGGAAGTCAGTGATGTCGGTTCTATGAAATTTTCCGTAGATCTATAGAATTGATTGAATTTTGCAGAAATACGGATCCGTAGGAAAAATTCACAAAAGCTAAGACTTTTCTTAGGGATTTGTTTTGTTTACTTATTGTGCTTTTTCTTTTGCTGGAAACAAGTTTTTAAATGAGGTAATGCATCACTTATTAGTGCCGTTTCTAAATGTAGATGTGTCAATGTTATTTGTATCATCATGGTGAAGTTTTTTTTTTTTTTTAATTATTATTATTATAGTCATTTTAACGCTCTTGGGTCATTCGTGACTTGTCCGGGGGTGAGATTTGAACTCGTGAATTTGGCGTGAGAGGTATGGATGCTAACCACTACGCCGAGGTCACCCCCTTCATGGTGAAGTATTGAACATCAATAACTGGAAAAAGTTGATGGAATATTACAGTCATCAACATGATTTGTCCTCGAATTCTATGTACATCGTTCAACGTTGAATGTTAGGAACGGAATGACTAATGTGCAGCAGTTTTGATGTAATATTCAACAACTTTTTTTTTGTATTCGTTTTTTGTATTTTGTATTCGTGATGTGGTATGTGTTTCCAGTGGGATGCCTTGACCACTTATCATTTTCATCATATTTTTTACTAACTAGACGTGAAAAAGAACTGGCATCACTGATAAGTTCGAAATGTGGTGACTTTCTCAATGCTTCAGTGGCGCCACCATGACTAATGCAAGCACATTCCCAACTAAAACATTATTTGCGATGAATGTAATTGTGAGTGTAATGTCTGTTTGTCTGTGGTACAGGTATACCTCGATATAAAGTAACTGTCAATTTTGACTTCCATCGTCAATATATCCTTAATACCAATTGAATCGTACAAATTAATATTACCTATAGATGGAGGATTATCTCATCTGTCCGATGGTGTTATTACTCTGCCTGTTTGAATGATTGTTTGCGAGAAATCGGCGATGGCAGTCATAAGTGATACACACAAAAAATTATCGTTACTAAAATTGAAAAATCCATTGGTAGAATGGATCATTGAAGATGCTGAGGTTTTGACAGCACCGTACTGTGGCTACCACAGTATTTTACATTGGTTCGTCCGTATACAGTAGCGCAAAATGAAAGCTGTGGTGGGTTCAAAACTCAGCCATCTAAAATGATCCATTATAAGTTTTCGTTGGTTCTTTTTGGTAGAAAGTGTTTAGATTTCAAAACAAAAGTCAGATAACTGTCAATTTAAAAATAACTCGTTTTTTACTTTTAAAAGTTGAAACTTTGAAATCGAATTGTGGAACTGTTAATATTTGGGCAGTTTTATCACAATGATTTATGTTTCCATCTCAAATATGAATTCTTTTTAATTCAATTGCTTTTTACTTTGAAAAAATGAAGCATAGAAATATTTAATTTAATATATTTTAGTTTATTTATATTTTCGATGCTGACTGAAAGGGCACGGCATTATGGAACTTGAAGATGGGAAGCGTTTTACTCAAATATACAGTTGGCTCGACAGTTAGTGAAGGTGATGGTGGGAGTAGCCTTGCTTTCCAGCAAGTCTGACGAGGCTGCTGAAAATCAAAACACATCAATTAGGAAAATCGGAAGCAAGCAAACTCTTAACTCAAACTCTAATTCGAAAATTTCATCAACTAATACCCCGTTCACATTACAACCTATATCACGTAATATAGGCTGTCTTGCAATGAGCACTCATACATAGGATTTCCAGTGAAAACTAGATGTATGAGTGCTCATTGCAAGACAGCGTATATCACGTGATATACGCTGTAATGTGAACGGGGTATAAACCTCCAAATCCCGCAGCTGGAGTATCCTTCCGATCCTTCCACTTCATAGCGTCACCACGGATGTCTCCATCTTATTATTCTTATCTTACAGAAGAGAAACAAGCCGGTGCGGATGAAAATGTGGGAAAGTTCGAGAAACTGCTGCTGCTCATGCTAATTCTCACAGCTGCTTTCGTTTTGTTTATTTGTTTCGCATGTCCTATTTGGAAGGAAACACAGGTCCAATACTGTCAAAAACTTCGCACTGAAGAGATGTTTTGACAATTTTATATCTTTTATTCTAAAAAATAGACTTAAAATTACAAGCCAAAAGTGAAAGAAACACTTTTAAATCAAAAAATAAGATTACATTTAAAAAATTTAATAGTCGAAACTACGAAATTTGGGAATGTTTTAATTTGATCATGCATTATTTTTAAAGCAACAATTTTTGTTTTTTGTGTGTAGTTACGTTACATCGAGGTCGAGATCCAGGTATGCCTGTACATTGAAAACATGTTTAAAACTAAAATATTTATGGTTGAATTAAATTCAAATGCATGTTTATTTCAGCAATATAGAATTTGGGTAAACAATTTTTAGCATGTCCTTTTTTCCTTCTTGTTTACATTCGGCAAACTCAACCGAAAACGGACCACAAGCAGTGAAACCCTAGAAGTAACTCTAAGACTAGTACGTCCCGAAGAAACGTGCTCAACTGTTTGGCTTAGCTCTGGTATACTATCTTCGGTCCGCAGCTAATCGATTCACCCCTCGAAACATAGGAAAATCTACTAGCCCCTCATTTTATCTGTCAAACTTTCATAGAGAATCAAAACAAACATTGTGTAGTACTAGAATTTGTACTAGAATGGGATACGTTAATCGATTTGCTTGGGACCAATAGGCTAGTCAAGTAGTGAGCCAATTTAAAATCGTTAATTTCGTATTGATTGTTGGCGAAACCGAAGTAAAGGGTTCGGAAACCCACGAAAGAAAAACAAAAATTCGGAATGGATTGTGAACAGGATCTACAATTGAAACATTTAATTGAAACGTTTTTGCAAACATCCTGCTGGTGTTCCGGAATATTTTTGTTGAGAAAAATGGAAAATTTGAATAATGCCTTAGTGGTTATGATCTTCCAGATTTCTTGTGCGTGAGTTGAGGTAAAAATCAGTTTAGATCTGTGGAAAATGGTAAAATGAGGTGATTACTGATGGAAATTGGCAAGATGTTCAATGAAAAATGCTTGCGGCTTTAGGTAGGATGAAAACGTCGCTAGAACTATTCCACAGCCGCAGTCAGTTTATGAGCAAAAGAAGGACGCACATTTTTTGCCTGTAGACTTGGAGACATACTTCAAGTCTCCGCGTACATCGTACGGATTAGGCAAAAGATGTGCGTCTAACTTAAAAAAAAACTGTCGCATTAATGGCCCTTCGCTCATTTTCAACTTCTATTCAATTTTCATACTGCCGTACTCTAACGGAACTATCCACCTACCCTATTCTAAAGATCATTCTCTAGCTAATAAATTATCACACTAAAGCTTCATGTTAGCATTTCCAACCAACTCAACATTTTTGGCTGGAGCAAACGTGAGGATAACACAACATCATGGCTACTATATGTCACACTGCAAAATACAGTGTTGTCTACAGAGCAGCTGCTTGATCATGTCATAAGTTTACCAATCTCTTAAATATATAATAACTTTTTCCTGTCTCGTTTTACATAGAAACGATCTTCAGCAAAGTTCTACACACTTAGATTTTTCTACCGAGATCGGCTGTGCAAATCTCGGCAAAAAACGTTTCACTGAGGTATCAGCAAACATTTCATTTGTTTGCTGAGATTCTGCTAAGCATTATCCGAGACTCAGCAATCAAATGTCACTTTTGCTGAGATCTCAGTAAAACTTATTTTGCCGAGATTTGCACAGCCGAGCTCGGTAGAAAAAACTAAGTGTGTAGCTGAGAAAAATTTTCTATTATAATGGCTATCGAACTGTTTCGCAGCTCAATATGGAAAAAGACTAGAAGGCAATGAACAAAAAATTGAGATTTCCCATAGTAATTTACATGTAAACTTCAAATGGCTTGTGCGAAGTCTGTTTCTAACCAAATGAGTTGTAACTTTGGGAGGCTAATCAGGACCCGATTTGAAACCATTTAAGCACTGTGTAGCGAGAAAGTCAAATTTTGCATCAGTCTAATGAGTCACGCCAAGAGTGAAGCCAAGTCTACCTATTGAACTGTCAAACCGGCTACCTATCGTACAAAGTAAACAAATCCTTACGATGCTAGGAAAGGTCCACGAAAGGTATTGCATTAAAATATAAAATATAATCGAAGAAATGATCATAAACACGCAGTGAGCACTTATTTGTCATGGGATACGTTTAGTAATGATCAGTAATGAGAATTTCTACTATTTTTTGTTAAGATAAATTGACAAAATCACTTATATAATGATTTACTACAACCGCAATTTTTTTTTCTCGCTAGAAGTCATTTAAAGTTGATGTAGAAGTCCTCTGTTGCCAAGTGAAAAGAAAGGGAATCTTTCGAAAACCGTGATGCGAGTTCAACTGTTTTTCTCTCGGCGTGACTCATTATACACCGACTCTAAAGGGCCACACACATTAGATCCGTTGATTAGATTGCGTTGCGTTGACGTAAATGTGACAGTTAGACAATAGATTTAGCTGTCACTTTGCCGCAATGCGTCCGATCCGGATCTAATGTGCGTGGGCCTTAATATTTGGTTATGCATACGGGGCAGGGGGTAAGTCACTCTGCCAGCTTGTGCTAACACCCACAAAAACATACTTCAACACACTTCAATCAACTGTTTTTCTCCAGACGTTTCCACGTTTCAAGTTTCGCCCTAATTACAATCTACACCGGAAATATTTATTTTGAAAAACGGCCCCAACTCGGTGACATCAAAGCTAGGTCGATGAGGCATGATGCTTGCCGGGAAGGTTGGTAACGAGAATGAACTTAACGAAACGAAAATATTCATTCTTTGACTTGAGTTCATTCGTCACCAATCAAAAAATTCCAAACGGCCATCAAACACGCAGCAGCAGCAGTTGGAAATTTTCGGTGTAAAAGTTTGGAAACAAGATTTTCTGGCAAAGAAAGCCCCTAAGATAAGTCATAATTTCGTCTATCAACAGAAGGTTTTTGTCCCCTTCCGCGGGAGCTAGAAGAGCTAGTGATTTGCAGACGTTTGGGTCCGGAAAAGCGACTAGCAAAAGAAGCATCAGTAACATGGATGCCAGCGGCGGAAACAATACGAGCAACGGAAAACCGCTCAAATGTAACCAGAATGTTCAGGTCTACCTAAGGGTCAGGTGAGTCCGGAATTCGTTTGGTTGGGGGGGATGTTTCTGATGTATGGGAATGGGATTATTTTGCAGACCAACAAACACCCGGGAGAAGTTGATTCGCTCCCAGGAGGTCGTCGAAGTGGTGTCGAATCGGGACGTGCTATTGAAACCGACGTTTGTGGACACCAGAAGTTCCAAGAGGTTCACCTTCGATCGGGCTTTCGACATACAGTCGAAGCAGCATGAAGTCTACAATGCCGTGGTGGCCCCGTACATCGAGGAGGTGCTGGCGGGTTTCAACTGTACCGTGTTTGCGTATGGCCAAACAGGCACCGGCAAAACGTACACGATGGTGGGCGAGGAACAGCCGGAACTGAGCTCCGGGTGGGACGATGACACCCAGACGGGAGTCATCCCGCGGGCACTGAACCACCTGTTCGACGAGCTACGCATGACGGAGTTGGAATTTTCGATGCGTATCTCCTATCTGGAGCTGTACAACGAGGAACTGTGTGATTTGCTGTCCACGGATGATACGGTCAAAATTCGTATCTACGACGATGTCAACAAGAAGGGATCGGTTATCGTGCAAGGTAGGTGTAGTATAAAATATATTTGTAATTTACACTTTATAAGATTTGAAAGTTGCTGGGATTTCCTGAAGATAAAGCGTGCAGGTCAGTATATTCCGGAAGTTTCTCCGTGTTCGTCGCTCGGTGTTTTCAGTAAACTGATGCGCGGAGTTAGCAGCGATTCGACATTTATTTCCACCTTCTGCCAGCGTTTCCAGCAGTCACGATCCCGACTTAAATGGCCCAGTCTCTCCAGAAAAGTTTCGTAGCTGCAATCTTCCGGAGTGAAGGCGTATATTCCCATTTCACCTTCCTCCCTAAAGGCGTCCAAATCTTCCAGCCAAGTGCGATCTGCAAGCTTTTTTATTTCTACTCGGTTTGCTCTGCGACTACTGAGGCGATGATCGGACATCTCTGCAAAGGATTTGCTGAAAATAATGAATAATTGTTTTGAATCATTTGCAGCTATTACGTTCGGTTTAGATTACCTGGAAAAAGCGTAATTCAAAGCCTGCGCCACCAGGTACTTGGTAGTTTCGTGCCTCAAAATATCATGGATCCGCTCGTCCGCATCGAAGCTGTTCAACTGGGCTAGCAAGCTCGGACGAATCAGAGTAAACCGGACCAAATTCATAACTTCGCTGACATGTTCTTGTCGGTTTTCCCAATCCTCGAGCAACCAGATGCATGCCGCATAGAAGACGTCCGCCTCGGAGAACACTCCAATGTAACTCGATTTGAGCAGGATGTTCAGATCTTCCAGTGGCAATTGCATGAATTCTCTTGATGCGACCAACGGTAGGAAGAACTTGCAGATCCTCTTCAGAAGCATATTCTGAAGAATGGTTTGCTGGAACCGTGCCGCTTCGATGTACAACAGAAAGGCACGGTCCTCCACAAGTGCTTCGATGCTATCCATACAGATCCAGCACTGGTTGATCAGATGCTTTATCCGTAGATACTCCGCTGCAACGAAGACCTCAACAAAGTGCTCCCTCTTGATGTCCGCCTTGGGTGCCAGCATCCAGGCATAGATGATCTGGAATGCTTCTGGTGTTACCTTTTCCTGCGGCAGAATCACCGCCCGTTCGTTTTCCAGCTCGTCGAACGCCTCCGAATAGCACTGGAGCAACAGCGAGTGGCAGTCGAAATGGGTGTCCCCGATACGAACCTGCATATCCGGTTTCCGGAAGCTTTTAAGCCGTTGATCAATCAGGCTAAGGTGATCCAGTTTATCGTCAAACTCGATGGCCTCCCAGTGTTCCGTGTGGAGCGGATCGTAGCCTTGGTCGATGAGGGAATTGATTTCCGTTCGGCCGGACATTTTCTTACGCTTGAAGCTTGCCTCTGATGGAGGAACTTCTGGTTTGATCAACTTGATTGTGAAACGTCAGGAATGGAATGGAAAAAAATCGTTTCTTGGCCATCGCCTACTGGAGTTTTTAGGTCGGCTCAATATGGTTCCAGGTAGAGAGGGTCTAGTAAGGTGGATTCCGTCCTGAGCGATATTTCACGCGCGGGGCGAGATTTTACGAAGGTACGAGAGGGAGAAAAGTACTAGTCTCTCTCATGCCAACGCAAATTTTGCTCCGCTTCGCTAATGAACGCTTAGATGTGAAAATAACATCAAACTATGAATTCATCCTAAATTTAAAAAAGAAGATATCCGGCTTAGCTCGGGAAGTGTTTATGAATTAATAATTGAATACGTCTAAAGCATCAAACTTCTTCACTTAAGTCACTTTTTTTTTACAACTATAAGTCACTATTTGGTCACTTATTGCTTTCAACATGGTCACTAAAATCACAATTGTTGACAGCATTGATCGCTACCAGCCTTGTAAGTGTCCTATTTTTTAACCCTTAAGTTCATTAAATTCTTCTAGACACCGACTTGAAGACCCGTGGTCCTTTTTCCCGTTTTCAGTTTCCATTTCCATTATTTAATCAACCCCGTCCTTTTCCCGTTTGCATCCATTCCAGGGTTGGAGGAAATTCCGGTCCACAGCAAGGACGATGTCTACAAACTGCTGGCCAAGGGTCAGGAACGTCGCCGGACGGCTTCCACCCTGATGAACGCCCAGTCTTCCCGTTCGCACACCATCTTCTCCATCATCGTGCACATCAAGGAGAACGGCATGGACGGCGAGGAACTGCTCAAAATCGGTAAGCTCAACCTGGTCGATTTGGCCGGAAGCGAGAACATTACCAAGGCCGGCAACGAGAAGGGAATCCGAACGCGCGAATCGGTTAACATCAACCAGTCGCTGTTGACTTTGGGCCGCGTGATAACGGCATTGGTCGAACGGACGCCGCACGTGCCCTATCGGGAGTCCAAGTTGACCCGTTTGCTGCAGGAATCGCTCGGCGGAAGGACCAAGACATCGATCATTGCGACCGTGTCTCCAGGGCATAAGGACTTTGAGGAAACGATGAGCACACTGGAGTACGCTCATAGGGCGAAGAACATCCAGAATAAACCGGAAGCGAATCAAAAGCTATCGAAGAAGACGGTCATCAAGGAATATACGGAAGAAATTGATCGACTCAAGCGGGAACTGTTGGCTACCAGGGATAAGAATGGAATCTATTTGCCCGAGGAGACTTACAACGAGATGCTGTACAAGTCGGAAGCTACCACGAAGGAACTGAACGACAAAGTAATTCTGATCAAGGTGCTGAAGGAGGATTTGGCCAAGAAGGAGTCGATTTTCAAGGAGGTCAGTTTGAATCTGATCGAAAAGGAGGATATGCTGCGCCGCACGGAGGACCATCTGTGCCACACGAAGCACGAGCTGACCACGACGAAGCGCTTTCTTAACAAAACGAAGCGACGCTATGCGGAGAAAAAGGTAGTTCTCGATAGACACATAAAGACCGAGGAAGCATTGACCAATCAAGCCAAGGAGCTGATTGAGGTGGTGGAATCAGTTCAGCAAGATACCAATGGGTTGCATGTAAGTCGATGGGTTGACAATATTGACAGGGTACCATGGTGAGATGTCTGTTTTGCCTTTCAGGACACGATCGATAGAAGAAAAGAAACGGATCATAAGAATCAAAGTGTTTGTGAACAGTTTGTGGAACAGCTGAAGACTCGAATGCAGGCAATGGAAGGAAATGTCGCCAATCTCACGCAAAATTGCCACCAAATATCGTCTTCGATTGTGAGTGATTGGGGTAAGTTAATGCTCGGAATTCGCTCAATTCAGGACTTATAATCCAAGATTCGTTTCAGATAACTACCTCTCAAATCAGGAAACTTTACAGCGGGACGTCCAATCAAAAATCACATCCCTCGAGTCCCTATCCGGGAGTATGTCGTCGAAGGGATCCTCTCTGCTGACCACCTTTCGAGCCGATCATTGCAACTGGAGCTCAGAACAACTGAAAGTGGCACAAGCGTTCTCGGAAACGATTGAACGGGCAGTTGAATCCCTGCAACTGACGATCACAGCTAACGTCCAGTCTCTCAAAAAAACAATTGCCGAACAGGATGAGCAGCATAAAGCACTTCTGCACGCCACCTGGCAAGCATGCCGGGAAAGTGCAGAGCAAAATTTACAGCTCTGTGCTTCCCAGAAAGCGCTCCTCCTCGACATGGATCAACTGGTCGATCGGTTCGGCGAAAGCCAAACTCGAATCGAAGAGTTCGTTGAAACGTCGAAGCAAGCTTACGACAGACGAATGACCCAGTTGATGGCCATGTGCGAGGAAGTCAAAGCGGAACGAGCTGGTCTGGATCGTCTGCGGGATGTTGGTCAGAATGTAGCGCAAACGAAAGCTTCTGTTAAGGAACTGATCGCGAACAATGGATCCGCTGTTGACAAAAACGTTGAACACCAGACCGAATGCATCGGTGTTTTAGAACGAAATTCTCGGCAGCTGGAAGAGACACGACAGGAACATAAAGCAATCGTCGAAGGCCGTCTGCAAAATAATATTCTCTGTCCTGTGGAATCATTAGGCACTCAGCTGAAAGAAACCGTCACCCAACAGAACAGTTTGCTCGGAAGCTTCGAGGAAGCTTCTCGCGAGAGTTGGGAAAAGTTTTCTTCCGAGTTCGAACAGCACCAGGCGGAATGTTCGACTAGCCATACGTCGCAAATGCAAGCGTTAAGTGACAAATTGAACTCCGAATCTGCAGCACAATCCCAGTTCCGCCACACAACGATTGCCCTGAACAAGCAGCTCCAGCGGAATATCACCTCCTATCAGAATCAAACCAGCGCCAATTTGGCCGAACTGAGCGAACAGGTGGATCGCTTCCATCGGGACGAGCTGACGTTGTATCAACCGACGGGGCAGACACCGGTGCGGAAGACTGTCAACTATCCGAGAGACGTGCCAATGACGTCGCCGCACGATCGCATCATCCGTCGGTTCTGGCGCGAGCGTGGAAGGGCCGATCTGGATCTGTCCACGACCATTAGTGAGGTGAGTGTTTTCCAGTTCTCAGTTTTTTTCTTCTCTTAACAAAGCGTGTAATTCCTAAATTAGCCTTGAATTACAATCTCCAATGTCGGTTGGGCGATCCCCTTAACTTGTCATGCAAAATCTTGGACATTCTAGAAACAATCATGGAGGCATGGGTTCCAGGGTCCATTCTGAAAATTTCCCGAATTTATTCTGTATATTGTAGGATTTAAAATCTTCCTGTGAAAGGTCTTTGAACGTACCCGGGATATTCTCCAAAAAATGTTAGTTAGTTTTCTATCCTTGAGGGCAATAACCATCTCGACCACCGACAGCATGCGTTCAGACCCGGCCACGGCACCGGAACGTACTTTACCGGCCTGGGAGACGTACTTCAGAAAGCGATGGACGAGGAACTCCACCTCGACATAGCGGCCTTGGATCTAGCCAAGGCATATAACCGTGCATGGACCCCTCATGTCATGAAACAATTGGTTGACTGAGGTCTGAGTGGCCATATCCTTCACTTCGTTAAAAAACTTCCTTTGTTGCAGAACCTTTCAGGTTCTGATGGGGAAACACCGCTCATCATCCCGGGCGGAAAAGACTGGAGTCCCCCACATCATCTTATTGGTTGCAATGAATGGTGTCTTTAGGGATCTCCCAAAAGGAATATACATCTTTGTGTATGCAGACGACATCGTTCTGCTGGCTATCGGACGCACCCTCAAAGCATTGCGAAGAAAATTGCAAGCTGCTGTATAAGCCAGGGCAGGCTTCGTATTGTCCCCAGAAAAGAGCGTGGTTTCCCATCTATGTCGCTCCCGCTATTGGCTGCTATCAGCGAACAACATTCCGATACCCATCAAAAAGACCATCCAGGTTCTCGGAGTGCGCCTGGACCGGGAGCACACGTTACTGACACTAAAGCCAATCGCCGCACGGGACTAAACCTCCTGCGAACACTCTTCAAACCACACCGCAGCAGCAACAGAGAGATCATACTAAAGGTAGCCAAGGCGACCGTAATCAGTAGACTATTTTATGGGATTGAACTAACCTGCCTTTCCAAAGACTCTCGAACCACGCGTCTAGCCCTAACAGGCCATCCGCATCGTCGTAGGTCTTCTGCCTTCTACACCCGCTGAATCGGTGTACTGCCGTTCCAATATGAAATCGCTAAAACGCTGAGCTGCAGAACATCCAGTTACCTAGAAAAGACCACTGGGAACCACGAGGTCTTTCTCCTCAGAGAGGGGAATAGTGCCCAAGAAAGCCTGGTCCATCAAGTGGTCCCACCCATATCCAACTTACACTAGCCAAGCGCTTTAAGGCAGGGAAGAACTCTCGCACTATTTATTTATTTATTTATTTATTATTCTCTTCATTGGACTTTTGTTGTCTAAATGAAGATTGATGGGGAAAAGCCTATTTGGCAAATATTTGCGCAAATAGGCGTAAAAACCCCATATCTTTTCAAACTACAAGGAACAATATAAAAAGGACAGAAAAACACATCAATTATAAAAATAAATACCGAATAATAATAATAATACTATGGTCTTCATCATAAAAAAAAATAATAATAACCTCGTCCTATGGCACGGAGTTATCCTTGGATCAGTCGAGGCCGTCATCGCAGAGTTGATCGGGAACAAAAAAGGAAACAGGTAGCAAAATTCATCAGATGTACATTAATGGACAGTTACTCACCGTCTTGCAACAATTTGCTGATTGAAAGCAGTTGCATTTGTCGAACCGTATCGTCACCTATCCAGCAGACTACGTTGAATCCGTTGACGAAATATTTCCACTGTGCAGTTGAAATCGAAAAAAAAAACATAGAATTCATTGAAACGGGCAGACATGAACCGTATTGGATCATGTAATCCGTAATTAGCTGCACGGGGTCCGAGATGCAGGAAACTTCTCGCTCGTAGAACTCTTTCAGGTGCATAGATGTCGAATTCAGCCAAAATCCCGGGAGAGTCGATTTCGCTTATCAGCACTTTTGCTGCAAAAACTGCCTGGTTAATCTTCCGCCTACGTTCAAGAGTTTCAATACCCAGTAGTTGGCAACGATCTTCGTAGGGTGGAAGGTTCGTAGGATCGTTCCAAGGAAGGTGGCGAAGAGCGTAACGAACGAATTTCCTCTGAACAGACTCGATCCTCGCTATCCAAACTGTTTCATACGGACACCATACTACTACACCAAATTCCAAGATCGATCGCACTAGAGAACAATATAGAGCTGTCAGGCAGGTAGGATCCCGAAACTCATCAGAGATCTTAAAGATGAACCCGAGTTGCCTGTTAGCTTTGGCTATGATATCCGTGTAATGTAGCTTAAATGTCAAAGCAGAATGCAGAATCAAGTGTAATTCCTAGATCACGAACGTTGTCCACACGCAAGTGATGATATTGCATTTTTGAACACTCAACGTGAGAAAATTCCTAGAGCACCACTCTTCGAAACTATCGATCAGGTGCTGCAACCGCAGGCAGTCAGTGAAGCATCGCACAACCACGTACAACTTGACATCGTCTGCATAGAATGACCGGCAGCCAGTTGGGAGTATCAAACCGATTTCGTTATTGATTATGGAGAATAGCAGCGGTCCCAAATTGCTGCCTTGAGGAACGCCTGAGTTGTTTGAAAAATATTCCGATTGATCAGACCCGATTTTCACACAAAGCTCTCGATTGGTAAGATACGATTCAAACCAACGAGTGAGTCCATGAGAAACACCAAGCTTCTCGAGTTTGGCAATTAGAATGGCATGATCAACCCGGTCGAGAGCAGCCTTGAGATCCGTGTATACGACGTCCACCTGTGCCCCTGCCTCCATATTCCGTATGCATAGGGAAATTAAAGGAGCGAGGTTTGTTGAGACCGAACGTTTGGGGTGAAAACCATGTTGGTCAGGAGAAATGTAGTTTCTACAGCTGGTAAATAATGCGTCGTTGATGATTATCTCGAATACTTTCGAGCAGACACAAAGTGAAGTAATTCCTCGGTAATTCTCCACATTTTGTTTGTCTCCTTTCTTGAAAATCGGGAACATGAACGAAGATTTCCAACGAGAGGGAAATACACCTTGTTGTAACGAAATATTGAACAGCTTTGAAAGCGGAAAGGAAAGCTCTGTTGAGTATTTTTTGAGTATGGACGATGGAATGCCGTCAGGCCCAACAGCGTTCGAGAATTTCAGCTTCTGGATGGCAGAGTCGACGAGGTCCAATGTGACCGTGAAAATATCAAAGCTGAACGCATCACTGGGAGTATCTCTGATCCCTTCAGCAACTTGGCTTAACGATGCCGTTGAATCGTTGAAAACACTCTTGAAATGCTCAGCCAGGAGGTTACATTTCTCTAAAGAAGTGTTGGCTCTTTTATCGCTCAGGTGAATCTCAACCGGTAGCCCATCCTCTTTCCATTTTGTTTTCACAAACGTCCAGAATAGCATAGGATTACGCCGGAGATTGGTCTGCATACGTCTTGAGTATTTCTTGTATAGAAAACGGTTGTACAACACAATAATCGCTTGGTGAATGGATTACGGGACTGGCTGTATTTTCGAAGAGCCTTCGATCTCACACGTGTTGTAGTCGAGCATTGGACCATGCCGGTTTTGGAGCAGGTCTCCTCAGAGGCACACAATCCATTATTAATCGGCTAACAACTTCGTCGAAATAGTTAACGGCTTCATCAATGGACGAACACAAGTCAAGCGACTGCCAATCTACCTGGGCAAGTGAGTGATTTAATGCGACGTAGTCAGTTCTACGAAAGTCCAGGCTTTGTACATCAACGATGTTTTCATAGAAAACAGGAACTGATCGATTGATGAATGCTTCCAACGCTGGATGATCGGCGTCTAGATGTATCAGAGGCTCGGATGCCTCAGCAACACTGCACTCTAGTGCAGCGGCTTCGTTCACCAACACAAGATCAAGCAGACGAGAGTTTCTGTTTGGTACAGAATTAATTTGCATTAAACCATGCAGGCTAAAACCATCCAAAAGAGCACAGCAGGAAGCAGGCATGTACGACCGAAGAATGTCGCGGAAATATTCCAAACAAGCCCAGACTGGTTATAGTCGCCAAATAGCAGAGCTAGATCGTTGTGATGTAATCGGGACAATACAGCACCAATGGAACTGATATGGTTGTCAACGCAGCTCAAATTAGGTTTACGGTCAGGAGGAAGGTACATAACGCCGATGCTTATCATGTTGTGTGACGTCGTAATCTTCACCCATAACTGCTCAAGACAAGTACTAACCGGAGCAGGCTCGAGGCAACAGTTCAGTCGTTTGGAAACCGCGCTGAAACGTGGAGGCTGATCAGGCGAGGAATTGGTTTCAATAAACGCATACTTGCCTGAAATCGAAGGTTGGAAGACGCCTTCACCGTTCTCAACCACAGGGCCAGAACGACTACGATGGCAGGAATCAGTACACACGACTGCGTTGAGAGGCTTAGGGGCTTCCATGAGGCGGTAGGCAATGCGTTCTGGGCTGACACTTTCAGAAACGTGGCAGCTATGATTCGGTGCAGTATGTTCAGAATCGGTGTTATAAAGGAAGCCGTCATCGGTGGACTGCAGACCGTGATGTTCAGGATTGAAATAAGCAACATCAGGCGAAGAATTGTCTTGATCACATTTGTACTTGAACGCTGGCAGGAATCAGCGGGACTGGACTAGAGGAACCAGGGGCTTCCAAAATGCAGTCCATAGTGCGACCCGGGCGTGAAGTTTGATGACTCATGCTGTACAGTGGTTGTTTAATGCCGTTGGCAACAGAAATGCTACTCAACAGGAGGAAGTCGGTGAAGGATTTGGTATCTAGAGGCGCAACACTGGAACTTGAAAACTGATCAGACAAATACCTGTTGCTACTGGAAGCATACTTGCCTGAACATGAAGGTTGGGGGACCTCACCGCCATACTCGACCGCAGGGCCAGAACGACTATGATGACTGGAAACAGCGTGCACGACCGGATCGAGCGGAAGGA